CATAGTAATATCCCATCCAAACTTCTCTCATTTCTTCTCGTGCTTCTCCATACCTTTGCATAATCTCTTCTCATTGTTTCGATCCAACCTCCTCTATCGAAAATTCCTAATCCACCCCATCAAAGTCCTAGGAGGGGTTTCTTGATGATTGATGCTTTCCTCTTCATGTTCCTCTTGCCGATCTATTTCCCTTTCGATTTAGACTAGGATTCTCCGGTGAAACATTGGTTAGGGTTTGCAAATTAAACCATTGACGAGGTCTTAGATTGCATCTTAATAAGCTTCCTCATCATATTCTCTAAGCTCTAGAATCAACCCTCAATTTTTTTTGCATGGAGGAAAACTTTTCTTATATGGTTGAGAACCTTCCCTCCATCCCCGTTTTAAGTTGCATTCTTTTTCCAATTTCTCTTCCCAAGCATCCACTTTCCTTTATTGCTATTTCTTCTAGTATGTTTTTGAACAAAGAGCTCCTGTAATTTGGAATCCCGTCAATCGCTTAGGCTTATCCGATACTCGAAATTGCTTTTGTACCAATTCGATCGTATCTATACAACAAGCTTTATATCTTACCTTTCCTGTACCACTTGATCCCACACGATTGAAAGGGGACGGGAAGAGCCAAAGACGGAAGAAAGTGGAGAAGTTTTGCTCTTCTCGGGCTGTATGCGATCCCATCGTCGGCTTCTCATGTGGCTCTTACTGCTACTGTATCGACACTTCCCGACGAGTTCTTATCGCGACTACAATGATACAAATCCTTAGTTGCCTTTCAACAAGCTCTTATCATGACTATGTTGTGGTGCAATATAGGGCGCGATTACTGCGATAGTGATGGATGCGATTGTATGTTGCGATTCTGTGCATAGTTCGACTACGAATGCATCAAGATAGAGAAGCATGTACGCCACGATCCCTTATGTTCGCAACAATCCTTCTTTTTTTCCTATATTGAATGATCTGATACCATTTGATACGATCTCAGACTAATTTTCCACACAAAAATTATGGCAAAACAAATTTCTTTCTTCAATAATACAAAGAACACAACATATAAATGATAAACACCTACAATTTGAGAGACAAATGATCTCTTACAAAACCTAGAATTCGAGAGGTAGAAAATTTCTCCAAATCTTTAACCCTAAGATACAAAACTCAATCTTATGCATAACCCTAACCCTAAACTTATTAGCCTTATTTATATTAACAACAATAATAAGTATCAATAACAACAACAAACCTTATCCCACTAAGTGAAGTAGGCGACATGAATCCTTTTTTGCCTTTGTGTTCTATTGAATGTCATATTTTCATTTAATTTTAATAGTTTAAGATCATGTTTTATACAACATGCCCAAGTTTTTTTATGTATACCCCTACCTTTTCTTAACAAACGACGACAACAACAATAATAAAAGGCTAAATTGCCTTTAGTTTTATAAAAGTCAAAATTGCTCTTAGTCGCCCGCGTAACAAAGGTCAATTGGAAGAGGCAGTGTGTAATTGGGGAAATTCGATCCCCCCCCACCCTTTACCAACTAAGAGAGCTGGACAAGGGCCGATTATCCATCGCACCCCTCTGGGAGGTCCATCTGATGGCCAGGGCCGCTCTCGTGCTACCCGTTAGAGCCCTGGGCTCTGAAAAGCATTAGAGCTAGAGGGGCAGTGGAGGCAGCCAAGGCTGGCTGTTTTGGGCACTTTCGGCCATGGTAGCTGTTCTATCTGTACACGACAGAGGGAGGTAGAGGTCTTGATCAGTGGAGTAAAGCTAGGTGGCCATGTTTACAAGGGAGTGGGTAACTAGGGCTGAAGTGGCAATCCTCAAGGTAGTCCCTTCCACCAATGGGAGGCCACACAATTGGCTATCGGGAGAGGAGAAAATTGAGTTTAGCAAAAGGGGAGTCCTTTGGGCTAGCTTGGGTTTAGATATGAATTGGCTTGGGTGTAGCTTGAGTTTGGTTTTGATCTGGTTAAGATTTAGTTTATGTTTGATTTAGGTTTGTTTTTCTTATGTTGAGGTTAATTTAGGTTAGATATTAATTTTATTCAGGTTTGATTTTAAGTTAACTTTAGATTAACTTTGATTATTTTTAGGTTGGGTTTAAGATAGGTTTGTCTGAAATTGCGTTTGCATTGTAGCTATATTTAGGTTTTGTCTTGAACACATACCTATATGCACACACACATACATATACGTGCATAAATGGGTGCATCTATCTACTTACTCATTTACACACACACATATATTTAGACACATATATTTGTAGGATAGGAGTATCTGCATATGTGCACATATATACATGCATGTCTATATGCACATGTAAATTTAGCCCCACAGACAGATGTGTATGCATATATACATATATATGTATATTTGGATTTGTAGATGCATGAACACACATATATGTATGTGTGTTCGTGCGTGCTTTTATATATATATATATATATATATATATATGAATGTATGATTTCATGTTTTGAGATTTTGGGTTTAGTATTATTGGGTTCATGTTGAATTTTAATGTAATTTGAATCTTTGAAACCCTGAGTTAAATTTTCATTTAAATTGAGTTTAAAATTTCTTTGAATTTATAATTAGATTGATTTTAAATTTTAATTTGGGTTCATTTTTAAATTAATTCTTCTATTTGATTTAAGTTTTAAATTTAGATTCATTTTTAATTAATTAAGTTTAAATTCATGTTGGTTTTAAATTTAATATTTAGGTTTATTTTAGTTCAAGTTGTTGCTTTTACTTTTTGTTTGAATTAAGCCTAAACCCAAGTTTGTCAACCAAATCTCTTACAAGCTAACCCAGGGCCCAACCACACCAAGTTCGAGCTCTCTAAGCCAGTGTCAGGTAGGCCTGACTTAGGTCAACAAGACTAAGCCCAGACTAGTCCAAGCACCTAGGGGTTCTAGGAAGGGAATCCTAGGTCTAGATGGAGTTAAATTAGAAGGAAGTAGCTGACAAAAAATGCGGTCAACAATATAAAATCTTTTAACCAACAAGCTATCACTTAGCTCTCGTCAGACCAAGAGAATTCTATGAATCATCTTCATTTGAGACTTCTCCATTATGAGATGGAATGATTTATGCAACTTCTACAATAGTAGGATCAATATCCAATTTATTATTTGCAAGAAGCATAGATAATATAATTGGAGGACTACTAGAGGAAGGCACAATAATTTCAACTTATAGGGGATTATTTTTGAGTGCAACCTTAGTTGATGAAGGAGGAATAATCGTTATAAGAGTAGAAGTGTTTTGAATATTTGAGTGTATCTGTTGATCTTAGCTTTTACTTTCCTTAAATCCGGATGAACCTTTAAGCAAACATGATATTCATGACCAAATATCTTTTAGAAAGAGCAATATCGAGGGATGCCTTCATATTAAATCTATTGTCAATAGCCACAATATGATGTTAAAAAAAAAAAAAACCCGAAGAAGAAACACATTCTTCTGAAGCAGGGAAGTAATATCCAATTCTTTCAGGAACTTGGTCGTTGATGCCCTTGAAAAACAAGTATCAAAAGCGCCAACTTGCAAAATTTTATTAAAAATTTATCTTAAAGAACATAGATTTGATTGGTTAAAGTCTTGCAAACATGACCTACAAAAGACTGCCCATGTAGGGGTAATATATGATTCGTTGAAACGTCAAAATGAGATGACCACTTCAACATTTGCATTGGAAAGCCATTGAATTAGTTGGTATGAAGACAAAAATCTTACTGAAGAAAATTTGATAATGATATGACGTTAATCAACGAGCCAAACTGAATATTCTCTAATCAAATGATGACTTGACATGAATTTGCAAAGGTGAGATTTTTAAAACAAAATCTCATTTCTATATGATTCAAGTTAGACCTAATTGGCATCATGCCTCACTATTTGCATGCCACCACCATGGTGGCTTTTCCATATTGGGTTATTTTGGTGCTATTTGCATGTTTGTATTTTTTATTTTGTTGAGCTAATCACATTAATTTATCTTGGAGCAAGTGTGCTCTTGTGGAGAGCAGTGACAAGGAACATTATGAGTAGCAAATTAGAGTGCTTTTGAATGTTTTAATATCTACCATTTTTATACGTATAATTCTGAGCTTATATTAATTTAATTGGATGAAAAAAAATTATGGTGTGGCATAATGTAAAGATCTTTATAAAACAATCAAGAATCATTTCATAATCCAAAAGTAGAAGAATGAAATTGGAAAGGATCAAGGAATCGTGTTAAATTTAATTTTTTTCTATGTTTTGGTTGAAAAGAATGGATGAATTTTTGTAAATTGAGTTTTTTTTTTAAATGATAAAATGACATGAGCTAAAGTGTTGATCAGTACATTTATTTATATTTTGTAAATAAATTTAATGCACTATTAATCACATTGAAATTTAAAAAGTTATTATTAATGTAAGATCTGCTAAAAAATTCTGACGTTTACTAACTCATAATATATGTATTAATCTATATCTATAAATATAAAAAGTTTTTTTTAAGATAAAAAATAGAAATAAAATAACCCAAACAACTGTACATATAAGCTTATCAGTATGTTTATATTAAAAAAATATGAGATTAATACGAGCAAGTACACTACCACTCCTTATTCTATTTTTTGTCATTACTCCCACCAAAAAGAGCACTCTGCCATCTTGATAAATCAAAGCAATCAGCTCATTGCTTCATGTGATTAAAAAATAGCAAATCACACCTCAATATCTCAATTTGGTGAATCCATCTTGGCTGCTATTGTCACTGGCGCGTAAATCTTCGGATGTGATTCCAATTATTTCTCATTCAAATCATGAAAAAACTTACTATGAAGCTATTAAATATGTTTTGTGTGGAGTTCTTATATGCCATTTCTTTTCTAATATTTAAAAAGACTTTGAAATCTGAGAATCATCTTTATGTTAATTTTTGCTGTATGTATCAATTTCTATTCGTTATGTTGACTTCCAATGATATCTTACATTTTAGGTACACCAAAATGGGGTTTTCTGGAAATGTTGAGCCCTGCTTTATCATCCCTACTGTAGTAGCGGTTAATGAATCCTTTCTAAATCAGTCGAGGAGTTCTAATAAGTCCAATTGGCTAGCACAATACAATGCAGGAGTGATGGCTGACCTTGATTTTTTCATTGGAGAGGAGGCTTTATCTCGGTCACGCTCAAGCAGTACTTACAATCTAAGTTATCCGATTCATGAGGGTCAGGTATCGTGGTGTTTATTAATATCTTCATTTTGGTATATGATTTTTCCCTCTATTTTTATTTATCTCAAATTGTAGGTGGAGAATTGGGATACAATGGAAAGATTTTGGCAGCAATGTATTTTTAATTACCTGCGGTGTGACCCTGAGGATCATTATTTTCTTCTAACTGAAAGTCCACTTACAGCTCCCGAAAATCGTGAATATATGGGAGAAATCATGTTCGAGACATTTAATGTCCCCGGACTGTATATAGCAGTCCAGCCTGTTCTAGCCCTTGCTGCTGGATACACCACTTCAAAGGTTTGTTGAAAAATAACACATGACTTGATTATTTTCTTTGCTTAAACTTTTATTACTACATTGAAAAATACAGTAATTTAGCTTATCCCCTTATGGAATTATGCTGTATTTTTGGCATATAATTAATATTGGACTGAGTTGCTTATTAAATGCATAATAGACCCAAATATCCAATTGAAAAGCACAAGATTGAATAGAATTCTAGTAGCACATTATCTGAAATCATTTACCTTTTTATCATTTATTTATTATTTAATTATATTTTCATTAGTTTCTTGGGTTAAAATACAATGATAGAACTTTTTTTTGTCTTGTTAGACAACATAAAAGATGCTGTTTTCAGAGTTGTCTACTTTCCAGTCTTGTAAGTTAGAAGATTCCATTTGCTATACATATGAAGTTCCTCAATTTTATTGCTCCTTGATAGTGACAACTATAAGAAGTACAAGTAAATTTATAAATCAAATAAACCTTGAATATTTAATTTGCTATTGATATTTCTTGCTAGGCATTTTTTCACATTTGGTTTTGATATCATTCTTGTTAATTGCTGAGTTTGTTATTCTAGCGTTTTTTCTATCAGAAGAAAGTTGTCGGGTTCCGATAGCCGGTTGGAGGGAAAGTCGGCGGTCACAGGAAGAGTCGGCTGTCGAAGGAAAGGTCCAAGTGTTGCTCATCCCGAAGGAGAGACTTAGAGTTGTACACCCTTCATGGAACTTGTCGTTGTCGGGTGTTAAATTTATGATTTGGGCACAGGACGATCGTATACGCACCCCTCGCGGAGCTTGTCTTTGCCTGGTGCCGATACGTCCCGTAGGTCTCTGTTGATATTCAGAAACCTCTCGCTGAGCTTGTTGCTGCCGGGTGCTAATTTTATAATTTGAGTGTTTGATGATCTTTTACGTACCATTCCGGAGCTTGTCACTGCTAGGTGCCGATGCATTCCATAGACCTCTCGCGATCGTTAGCCACCCCTCTTGGAGCTTGTCGCTGCTGACTAGTAACTTTATAATTTGGGTGCAGGACGATTGTTTACGTACCCTTTGCAGAGCTTGTCTCTGTCGGGTGCCGATACTTCCCATAGGCTTCTGACGATCGTTAGACTTTCCTCGCGGAGCTTGTCGCTTGGGTGCAAACTTTATAATTTGGGCGCAAGACGATCGTTCACACATCCCTCACAGAATTTGTCGCTGCCGGGTGTTGATGCGACCCATAGGCCTCTATGACCTATTGATGCTCTTAGCGTCGTTGTCGGTGTTTTGTTATGCCTTTGACCGATCAGATGTTCTTGACGTTGTCAGTTGTTTCTCATGCTTTTGATCGATCAATAGCTCTTGACGTCGTTGTTGGTTATTTCTTATGCTTTTGGCCGATCAGACACTCTTGACGTCGATGTCATTTTTTTTACCTGGGTTTGAGTTCCCCAAGTGCTAGAAACAAATGAATTGAGATGTATGCAGATAAGTATATAGTATATAAGTGAGTAGAAATTGAGTGATGCATGAAAATATGTAAGAATTGAGTCATATGCAATTCTTCCCTTTTTGGAAATGGCTGACCGTAGGTGGAGGCATCGGGAGCAGCATTCTCTTCAAAGGATGCTTCAAAGATATTGAGAAAGAGATGAAGTTTTTAAGGGATCGCCGGTGATGAGGAGTAAAGGAAGTGAATTCTCTTTTGCGCAAGTTCCCTTTGTGTGTTCTTTGCTAGGAGTGTTTCTGAAGTGTTTCCTATTAATGTTGGCTCGTTTTCTTGTTCACAACTTGATCCACGCTCACCGCACCTTTTAGGATGTTGGATCCAAATCTGTTTAGTGGGTCGTGCCCAAAAAAATAGTGCTTTGGGCCGAGGGGAGGTGATTGAGAGGGAGAGAAATGAGAGAGAGAGAGAGAAGAGGAGGACTTTCCCCGGACATGGGGGAAAATGGGGTGTTCCCGGGCTCGTGCACCCATTTTATTTCATAAAATTGGATGTTGCAAATTAGGTGTGCCCCAAAAAGTCCCCCACCCTCTTTTATATCATGAAACCCTCCTATTTATAGAAGATTCAAGGGAAAGAAAGTACAAAAAATACATAGTTGGCTATGCTTTTGAAGGGAAGCAAAGGACATTTTAGTCTTTTTTTTTTTAATTATTTTCACCGTTGGATCATATCGAGATTGATGCAGACTTTCATGTCCATGTTTGTCGGCCGAATGAAGTGAAGTGGCCAAGGGAGAGAGCTTGGTCGGCCAACTGAAGCGAGGAGGCCGAGGAAAAGAGCTTGGTTGGTCGACTGAAAAGAGATGACCGACCGCCAAACCGCCTCGAGATTCGTGTAGCCCATTTTTGAGTAACACATTTGAATCAAGTTTTTTTATTCCTCATTGAAGTTAATGCGATATGATGATGTGTTAGTTTGAACGTTCATGGTCTGGAGTGCAGTTGTAGACTTTATGATTTTGTTTTTAATAGTAAACAATTGCATTAGGTGATGGTATGATTTGTTGTTAGTTCATTATTAGAGGCCTTTTGTTGGCATAAAAGATGCTTGCTTTTGGATAAAAATCATGATGATATATTGACTGAAGTTTGTCATGATTTGTCCCATGTTTTATATTATGTTTGTCTTTAGTTGACTTTCAGCTGGTTAGTAGTGAATGAAGTGCTGTTTGTCATTGATATCTGATTCATTGTTTTTTATTTGTGAAATTGTAGTTTTGTCGATGCATATAAAGCCCTTTTGTTATAAAATTGCTTAGGATCATGTAATTCAATGATGATGAATAAAGTATTTTAAGTTATATTTTTATGGATTTTATCCTCTTCTGATCATTGGAGAATTCACACACTATTTCCGTGTTTGAGGATCCAATAACTTAGCTTGAAGATTCAACAATTTCACGAATCAACATATTGAGCTTGAGGATTAATTATGCATCTTTTGTTACCTTTCCCTTTCTCTTGTCTCCCCTTAATCCCTTGGTTTCAACAATTCCATTTCCCAACTAGCTTCAACTTGAATTGACGGCACATAGGATTTTTACTCTTGGATGTTGTTAATGCATGATAAGTCTCCTGTTTTATGTTATATTTATTGTTAGCATTCTTTGAACTAGTTAAGGGTAAAATTATTATTTTTCATATAGCACTAATTTATCCAATGTTTTTTAAATTTTAATTGTTAAGGGTGTTTTTATCATTTTGAATGAGATTTATTGTTATAATTAGTTTCTGAGGTCATTTATTTAATCGAATGATCAAATGTTACTAGTGTAATACCACACAAATTAACTTATGGTGCATGTTACGTAATAGAGCCGTGAGTTTTATTAAGAACAATATACATTTCTGAGTTAACCACTCTTTCTAACCTGCTAACATCAAAGTTACATTAGTATTTAAATCCCATTATCCAAATAATAGACATTTATTGATTTAATGATATTTGTGCTAGCAAGAGAATGATTGATAGTTAAATCCCAATTAAACTGATATCACTTTATTAACCTAAACACAATAACGATAATAATGTGGATTGGTATTTTGTCAATCTAGCTTAAGCAATCGGAATAAAGAAATAAATGTGCAGCAATGCAACCAATTAAATCTAAGTTATAAATAATTTGGCGCATAGCTATTATTAGTTGGGTCGGCTTCTAACTGACCCACATCAACGCATTAGCCTACCTGCTTAAGATTTCATTAACCAGACTTGTAATAACAATTTCACTTCTTCACTGCTAAAGTAGGTAAGGAAACCTTTTATTAAAGGGCAAGAGTAGCCCTGCTTGAGCTGGTAAGTCCACTGGCGTCTTACATGGCTGTTCTGAGTTCCACACGGCACACCACAAAGTTTTACGGTAGTGGCATTTACATACATACTACTCAATTCATATGTATTCACATATCTAACACCTAAACTTTAAATTTTATATTTATACTACCAAAACTTTTATATAACGAAAAAAAACCTCTATTTTAACTTTAAAATGGTGAAATACACTTTTTCATGCATGGATAAGGTTGTATGCATGTAAAAATTGAATTTTAGGTGTTAGATTTGTAAATACATAAGGATTGAGTGGTACACTTGTAATCTTCCTTTACAATAATACTAGGCCAAAGTTCTCTTGAACTTTGGATGTGATCTAATGAAAATTATCTTAAAGCACAATTATTTTTCCTAAGAAGATGTATCATTACATGATATTTAGGTTTTAATAGAGATGTATATATCATATTAATACAACTCCTTTGGATGTATGCATGTTAACAGTTCTACATGAAATAAATAGTTGCATAATAATTTATCTATGAAATTGTTTGATTATTGCATGTTCTTTTGATTCTAGTAAACATACACTTTTTTATTATTAGATGAATATAATGTGTCACATTAAAAAATTATGTGTGCTATGAAGTATGAAAATAGTGTATGCATGAATTCTTGTATATGCATGCGAAGAGAAGTTCACCTTCTTATACTTGCACACGTCAGGTATCTTTTTCTACTGCCCTGGACAATTGTGAAATTTAGATCACTAATCGTTGTGCTGAAAAAAGAGTATCAACCAGGTTTGAGTAGACATTCTACCGCCTTAGACAATTATGAGATTTAGGACACTAATCATTATGTTGACGGGAGAGTATCGACTAAGGCCGAATGGATACCTTTCCACTTTTATAGTCATATAAGTTAGATCATAAATCGCAGTGCTTGCGGGATAATATTAGCTATGGGCATGTTATGTTATCTTTTGACGGTGCTCCTAAGATGAATGTGAAAGTTGAGAGTATGAATGCTAAAGTTTAATAAATCAAACCTTGAAAAATAAAGTAAAAGATAATTCTTGTAGAAATTTTATATTTTTTTCACGAGCAAGCATCATGAATATAGCTTTAAATATTATATGATTTTTTAGAATTCATTATGAGAGACCAACATACATATTATTTTTTTTTATTTGGGTCACTATAGTTTAAAGTGTATTAAATATTTAAGTCAAGTAAAGTGTATTA